AAGTGGTAATTTGGAAACATAAAACACACAAACCTTGCTCTAAGTGGGAAGTGCAGGGAGATGCTTTATTGCAGAGAAACATCACAGCTGCAGTGCTTTTCTCTGAAACAGGCGTCTCACTGTATGAGTCCCAGATTTCCAAAGGAGTGTAACCTTTACAAGGTGACTGCTAATCCATCTACAGTTGAGCCAGATATTCCCCTCCTGTTGGGTTCTCTTCATAGAGACTCTTATGTCCACTTCTAGACTCTTTCTAACGACAACAATGGCAGCTATGGACTAGGAATTGGACACTTTGCATGTGTTATTGCAGTACTTTTCACAGCAATCCTAAGAGAAAAGATCATTCCTATTTTATAGATGAAGAGAATGAAACTTAGAGAGGATAACTTGTCCAAAGTTACTTCACCTGTCCATGGGCAGATGTTCTGGTTACATATTGCTGCCTAACAAATTACCCAGAAATCTATTGGCTTATCATAACAATCATTTTATTATATTGCACTATTGTGTGGGACAGGAATTTAGACAGGGTACGGCAGAAACAGCCTCACTTTTCCACATGACATTAGCTATGGTGGCTTGACTAGGGCTAGAGAATCTATTTTCATGATGGTTCATTCATATGGCTGGCAACTGGACTGTTATCCAGAGTTATTAGTTCTTTTCCACATGGGCCTCTGTATGTGGTTGCTTGGGTTTTCTCATAGCATGATGGGTAGGTGCCAAGGGTGTGTATTCCAAAAGACAAGAAGTGTAGGCTGCCAATCTCCTAAAGCCTAGTCCCCAAAACTGTCATGGTTTCAGTTCTGCTGACTTTTATTGCTCAGGAAGTCACAGAGCTCTTCTAGATTCAAGGAAAGGGAACATAGACCTGACCTCTCATTAGGAGGAATGTCAAAGAATTTGTAGCCATGTTTAATCTACCACAGCAAGGATGAGAATCCAGGTTATAGTCATAACACCATATTGCATCTCAATTAGTTCAATACCAGATGTTTTCAATGACTACATTTGTCTCTTTGTATTCTCGTGACTAGACCATGAACAACTTAAGGGCAGGGATCTTGCCTTATACATCTCAGGTTAGGTAGAACACCTACCTGAACATAGTCAGTCTATAATAATAAAAGCGTAATATGCTAATTAGACCAGACAGCCAAATGACCTTCCGAGCATCATTCTGGACATCCTTCTGGATGAAGCTGCGGCAGCGAGGGCCGAGGCAGAGGCGGTTAGGGGCCATCAGGCAGGCAGGTAGAGTGGTTAGGGGCAGTCAGGAAGGCAGGTGAGTGGTTAGGGGCGATCAGTCCTGGGTTGTGAGAGGGATGTCTGACTGCCCGTGGGATAGGGCCTAAACCAGCAGTCAGACATCCCCCGAGGGGTACCGGATGCAGGCCGGGCTGAGGGGACCCCCATGCCCCTGCCTGTACATGAATATCATGCACTGGCTCTCTAGTGATTCATAAATGAGTGAATGATGGAGAGCAGAGTTCCAGTCCTGGCTTTGCTAAGGAACGCTGTTAGCCCAGGCAGGATGTTGAAGTGCTCTGGTTCTCTGTACCACTCATTAAAGTAAGGAGATGGAATTAGATTGATCCTACAGTCTTCCTTTTCCCAGCGCTGCCATTGCATTAGTCTGCTCAGGCTGCTACCCAAAATACCTTCTTCCTTCCTTGCAGGTGGCCACTTCTTGCTGCATCCTCATGGAGATTTCCTGAGGATACATATTTCTTTTACATTGGATACAGGATCATTAATAATTGCCTTTTATAGCTCATAGATGTGGTATGCAGGGAGCAAGATAACAATCTGTGGCCTCTAGGCTCTGGTGCAGTGGGTGTGCCCTGAGGGCTCTAGAAAAGGAGATTACTGTAGTTTCAAAGGTATGTTAGTTCTTTTAGATGCAAAAAGACAATGGACAAAGGCAAAGATTGACCTTTTTCAAGGAAGCTACAAGCCTAGGACATGACTACCCGCAATGACTTCATTTTTAGGAATTTTTATATTCAGACCATCCTATGCAGTTACTTTCAGTCTCTGGGTTTGTAAGACCCACCATGCAGGCCTCCCCTGAGCTTGTCAGGTTTAGTATGTGGACCCTTTTTCATCTATAACATCAATAGTTTTAAAAGCCTCCCAGGTGATTCCATTCTGCAGCCGGGTTGCTGATTTCTTATCTAGAGTTAAAGGTGCTAGGTTACTGGCTGCTATGGAATGATAAGAAATTGAGGATCACAAGCTGACAGCCACTAAATAGCTTGGGTGTGGGTTGTGTGGTACGTTGAATAATAGCTTCCCAAAGAGTCCACATCATAATCCTCAGACTCTGGGAATGTGTTAGGTTACAAGGCAAAGGGGCCTATAGGGTGCTAATCAACTGACTTTAAACTGGGGGAGATGATCCTGGGTTATCCAAGTAGGACCATGTAATCACAGGGGCCTTACAAAGTGGAAGAGGAAGGTAGACATGAATCAGAGAGAGAGATGTGGCTAAGGAAGAATAATCAAAGAGGTGAAACGTTGGTTTTGAAGATGGGGAGAGCACCATGAGCCAAGGAGTGTGAGATACTTTTAGAAGCTGGAAAAGGCTAAATAAATAAATAAATAAATAAATAAAAGGATTCGCCCCTAGAGTCTCCAGAAAGGACTGCAGCCCTGCTGACAACTTGATTTCTCCTAGTGGCAGACTTCTGACCTCACATGGCTTTAAGCCACTGAGTTTGTGGTAACTTGTTACAGCAGCCTCAGGAAACTAGTATAGATGGTCAGTTCAGGAGAGCTTCCTGGAGGAGGTAAATCTCGAGAAACTTTTGCAGGGACATTGTTGGTGGACAAAAACTGCATAATAGACATTGGAATTTGAATCCATCAGAAAAATAAATAAATACATAAATAAACAAATTTTTTAAAAAAACCATAAGCGATCTCAACGCTGTATAACACTTACCAAGAATGTTTAAAATGAAAAGTCAGAGGAATAAAACAGTATTGTGTGATTGCCACTAAATTCCCCAATGGAGTCAGAGGGGAAAAATCCTCAGGAATTTTTATCAGTAATGTTACTTAAATTGTGATCACTTCACAGATTTAAAGGCTGATGAAACACTTGTTACACCTGGATGGTTTTAAACTACTTAAGTCAGCAAAGAGAGCAGATAGGATCTGTGGCTTCCACACAGCTCATCACCTGAATGCAAACTGGACCTTAATGCTCCTATCACTCTCCTTTAATCAGGTCTCCAGACTCTGCTGATTTCTTTTCATTGGATCCTCCTGAATAAAAAATAATTGGATAATCTCTCTCTCTCTCTCTCTCTCTCTCTCTCTCTCACAGAATGAGAGAGCAAAAAAAAAGCCTCTATATATAAATTTGTTCATTAAAGTATATTTATGAGGATCTGTGTATGACATGAACTGTATTAGGGATACATCAATTAATGAGACAGGCAAGAGGTGGTATATCTGGGGTTCTGATCAGCTTAGAAAGTACATTGGACAAAACTCCTTGGCTTAAAATAATGTCCATAGCTACTTGTTTAAGTGCACATTGCAGTACTTCTCAAACTTTAATGCTCTTAGAAATTATCTGAGGATCTTGTAGAAACACAGATCCCTATACAGTAGGAAAGTTTTATTGTCCCAGCTCCCCTGAGTGTGCATGTCTGAGCGAGGATGCAGACTGCAGAAGGATGTACCTGTGCATCATCCCCAGGGCCAACATCAGGGGCCCCAGTTGGGGTGAACTGCAGATGCCCTTTGCTGGGTGGGTATATGTTTTGAGGCTAAGGAGGGTAGATGCATCCTAGTACAACCTTCCAGGTTGTTCTTCTGATTATTTTCCATCAAGGTCGTACTGCTTTTAGCTTTTTAGCTCAGTAATAGCAGCCGTCTCACACCCCGTACCTTCCCGCTCCACCCCGCTTCTCTCCCCACCTAGCTGAGCACATCCCCTGGCCATGCCAGCAGAGCCAGCTCATTAAATGACCGCTGAAGCTCTCTGTAACCAGCCAGCCAGCCAGGGAGGCGCTGGCCGAGGAGGGTGGGCTCTTCAGAGGCCCTCTTTCCCCTCTCTCCCTCTTCCCACCTTCCCCTGGCTGTCAGTGGCAGTGCCTGCGGCAGAGCCGCCCTCTGCAGCAGCCCCTGGCACTTGGCTCGCACTTCTGGGCGCTGTCCATGGTTGCCGCATCCTTAGGCGCGCCACGTCAGGAGGCCGCAGCCGGGCCCGGCGATTGGCCCAGGCGCCCTGGCCATCCCCCGACACACCCGCCCCCGGGCCCAGGTCTCCAGCTCCCGCCCCGCAGGCGCGTGCGGGCGAGCGAGCCGGGCGCGCCCAGGGACTTCCGGCGGCACACCCACTTCCCTTAATAGGAAAGAGTCCGGTGCCCCGAGGGGCCGGCGTCGCTCAGGGGTGGGGCTGGGAACCTTAGGGCGCGACCGCCCCGGGCGCAGCCACAGCCGCCTCCGAGCGGCAGGAGGGAGCGGAAGGTCGCTGCGCCACAGGAGGCCACGACCCGGAGATCCCGCGCCTCTCCTCCGACTGAGATCTTCCTCCGCACCCCTCCGGGTACCCCTGGTCCAAACCTCACAACGATATGGAAGAATTTTTGCAACGCGCCAAGTCTAAACTGGTAAGTTGAGGAAGCGAGGCGTGTGTGCGTCTCTCTCTCTCTCTCTCTCTCTTTCTCTCTCTCTCTCTCTCTCTCTCTCAATGGATAGGAAAGGGCATTGCAGTAGAAGAGGCAGAAACAACTTTGCCACTTAGTTGTCAGGGTATGCGGGCTGTATGCTGGCACGGATCTGGAACTCTGGTGCTTTCAGCAAGCTGTCTGCCTCCAGAATCCTTCCCTGCGCCAGACAGAACGCCGACCTGGGGGTGGTCATAGCCTAGCTCAAGTTGTGTGTCCAGTTTGGTTCCTTCAGCCTGAGGTTGGAGAGAGGCAGATCCAGCCAAATCTGCCCTTTGCTCCTGAAGGCTCGAGGAGGAATGGGTGTGGTGCCCCTTGGGAAAAGGAGCCTAGCCTCTGCAGACGCAGGAGGTGTCAGTGTAAAAGGAAAGTACGGATCTCTTAGAAGCAGCTTTAGCTGGAGGTGGTGGCAAAGCGTAAGTGAGGAAGTCAGGGTGCCAACTAGGAAGGACGTGTGCCAATACGCAGTTTATGCCAACATACCTCACACAGAACTTGCTCCAGGGCAGGAGTTGGGGAGATTCTAATGTGAATCCTGTGTCTCTTGGGTCCCTATTCAGATCTGTAATTTGGGACAGAAAGAGAAGGGGACAGCCCCAACTGTTACTGGCCATGTGCATTTTGCCAGACTGGCTCTCCTGGGAGGAGACCAGCGTGTTGGTCGGCTGTGCTTAACTGTTTCACTGTACAAAGAGTGAACAAAAATTTCACTTGTTGACAAAAAATTTATGTTGACAGTTGTTACATTCTAGCAGTTTCCTAATTCTGAATTGTTTTGGCTCTCCATCATAGCATCAACAGACATAATGGAAATGTTTCTGTTTCTACACTTAAAAAAAAAAAGCCTCTGCCCATTTAGAAGCAATATCTTTAATGAACAGTGAAAGCACCTTTTATGGGCCTGGCATTGGAGGAAATGCATAATTTATGATGCCTTTAACCTTTAAACCTTCAGAAAAGCCAAAATATAAAGCCTGCACTAAGGTGACGTCTTAATCACAAGGCAGGATATTTGCAGGATAATTCCTGTAACTCACCCTCCCACGACCAAGGGAGTGCGGAGGAAAGTGTGATCTTTACAGTGGCTTAACTGTAAGTATCTTTAAAAGGAGACCATTAAAGTTGATTAATGCTAATATAAGTACTTTGTTTTCCACCTTAAGCCTCACAGAGGATGGAACGTTTGCCGGAATTTCAGAATTGAGAAAATATGTGATCATTTCTGTGTTTGTTGCTGACCCCCTTATGAGTTTCACATGAGCATTAGAAGGAAAATACTGATTGCAGAAACTCCCTTGCATTTCTGATATTATACATGGGCCCTGAGTTCTTGACCTGATAATGAGTGAGAGATGATCAAAAAGGAAAGTCAATTTTGGCAGCTTATTTATTTGTTTTTTTGTGTGGATGAAAGTGAATGGTTGATCAACGATAACTGCAGTTTTAGACCGCACCTGTACTCTGCTCGCCTTATGTACTCTGCTCGCCAGTAAACGTTTAGATTGTGGGGTCTCATGTGAGCAAGAGGCTTGTCTCATTTCTGAAGAGCAATTGCTGGAATAAAAAGTGCCTATTTCAGAGTAATCAGTTTAGAGTCATGTGTAAGTTTATTTACCGAGTCCCTTCATTAGACGAGCAATTGCTCTACATCATTAAAAAAAAAAAAAAAGACAGTAAAAAGAAGTGGTTGTTTGAAATACTGATCCCAGTCTACTGCTTTAGCCAGAAGAACAATTACTGCTAATTGTGTGTTTTTCTTGGAATAGATTTCCTGTTGGAGATCACAGTTAGCCTTTCATATTCGGTCACAGCAAAGGTGATTGGGCCACATTTTCTCTGACAAACTACATTTTCTAGGTAAAAAAAAATTTTTTTTACTTAATATGCAACATTCAGCTATTGTAGTAAATAGCTTTTGTTTTAGAGGATGGATAGCCTTTGTTTAGGAGGGAAAAATGGGATAAATAATTATGACACTTATTTGTGAGTTTATTCATAATAAAATAGTAGGATTGTTTAAAAATTGGGCTATTTTGGGGAAGCATTTTAAGGAGAAGAAATTATGTTGGATTTCACTTAAGCTTTATTAGGCCAGAATTAAATAGAATTTAGATGTTATATTTAAGCTGTTTTCCATCAGAAGCTAATACAGATTTATTTATATGATACCTAGACAAACTCTAATTGGCAGATTTTTTTCTACCTACTTCACTTCTTTGATATTCTACCAGCATATGATATATATCTTCTTTGAAATTGTCAATGTCCCTTCCAAACTCATAATGTAACCTCATCATCATTGGAGCTAGCTAATTTCAATAGGCCAAAGGAATTTAAAATTCCTAAGTGGAATTGATATTAGCCATTGCTAAAATCTCCCATCATCAGACTTTGGAGAAATTGTTTGTGTGCCTTTAATTCCCAACTAGGAGCATTTATCATTTATCTGTCATTGTGAGGAGAGGAGACGTTTCCTATTCTAGGCCAGGCCCTTGGGTTGAGCAGACATCTCTGAAGCAGAGGGGTGCTTTTGAATTTTTATCAGGTAGTTTGGAGATGATTTCTTTGGAAATCGAGAGAGCACTCTCTCAGTTCCATTTATCATGCCAGTCTGGTTTTGCAAGTCTTTAAACTGAGGCAGATTCGCTGACAATCCCAATCCCCCTTTTCCCTAAATCTCCCCTTCTAATACCACCTGAGAGTAGATGAAACTGATCCGAAATGGCAAAAGTAAACCCCAAGTGTGGCGTCAGAGGCGTCGCCCTCTCCTGGAGCTCAAATGCATCTCTAGGGGCCTGCCTTCTGCCTTGTTAGGACAGGCGTGGGTGTCGGGAGCTATTTCATAAAAAAAGGAAAACCCGGGCTGAAGGTGGAAGGCAGCAGGAGACTGGTTCCTGCCATGCACAGTCTCCAGCAATGCCACTTTCTTGACAAAGAAGGAATTGACACAATAACCATTAAAACAATCAAGACAGAGTAAGCAACATGAGAGCTAGATAGACCCCAAAGCAGTAGGGCTGGTAATCAGAGGGTGATGTTTGTTACTTTGGTTCACTACCCCAGGTGAGAACCCAGATGTTTCTGATCCGGACACTTACTGCTAGCACTAGAAATGAAAGTGAAAACATTCTCTTTTTCTCTTGCCACTGCCCACCTGGCTTTTCTTCCACTTGCCTATTCTGAGCTGGAATAGGGAAAGGGATCAAATCCGGTAGTTCCAGGTCAGCTCTTAAGTTTCAGCCATGCTTTTCATTTTAGGTACACAAGTCTATGGTGGTGTCTCAGTCGTTCTCTAGTTATACTATTTCTATGGTAAGAGAAATTGAAGACAGGTAAGAATGAGAACTTCCTGCCCTAGGCTCTAATTTGGGAAATGTCTTCCAGTTTCATGGTGGCCAGCTCAGAAAAATATTTAGGCCCAGACAAAATATTCAGGCCTCATGATGGCAGTAAATGGTCCAAGTCCCCATGAACTCTGGGAGGGGTGGGGGTGGGAGGAGGTAGATGGGGATCTGCTGGCAGGAAGCCATGGTCTACTGAGCCTCTCCCACTGCCCAGACCTCACCAGCTGATGCAATTCAAGCAGCTGCTCAAGGCCATGGCGAGGTGGGAGGAGGGCCTCTGCAGCACACTGCCCTAAGTTGTAGGTCATGCCAGCCTTGGGTGTGTGTGGCCAGAGTGTCAGCTGCTACCGGAAGGATATAGGGCATATTAATGCCTTAGGAATGCTGTTTTCAAAGACAGGGTGGGGACAGGGCTACCACTACCGTCTGGGGAATGCATCTGCCACTTCAGCAAGTGACAACTGCAGGTGGAGGGCTCCTATCTGCAGTGGGTATTGGCCAATAGGTGGACTTCTTCAGAAGAATAGTTCTGGGTGACCTACCTGCCAAATTATACTCCGTGGTATGTGGTCTAGAGACAAGAAGGCACACTCAAAACTCTACATGAACAACCACATTAGAGTTTATAGAGGGGCTGGGGTTTTAAACAAGAAAGAAAAACACTGCAGCATGCCCACAGACTAATCATCTTGACTAGAAATTGGAGGAACCTTTTCTTCCTGATTTCCTTTATGGGAAGAAGGTGGTGCGTGTCAATAAAAACCGTCTTTAAAGGGAAAGTGCCATACCTTTCAAAGAGCCGCTGTGGTGAGGATTGGCAACGGTGAGATGCTGGCAGAGCAGTTTCCTTTGGCGAGCTGAGCTCATGCCCCCCTATGAGTGAGAGCTGGTGCATTTGAGACTGTGCCTCTTGCCAGAGCATCCTGAGCAGGAAACTCAAGAACCCAAGCTCTTCTGTGAATGTGGAGCCACCCCTCAGGGCCTGAGGAGAAAAATGCCCTTGGCGGCTTTAGACCAGGAGTCAGCTCCATTTCTCACTGCCGGAGCTGTCAGACCATGAGCTGTGAGTGTCCCAGCTTCAGGGCCGCAGAGGAGACCCGGGCTTTTCCCTTGTGAGTCTCAGAGTGGATTGGTCTGCCTTGAAGGTGAAGAATTGGTCACTCCCATTCAGACAGCACCTAGGGTCTTGAAGGATGGGCTCAGGTGAGTGAGGACAGCCTTTAATCAGTGATTTGGGACTATTTTATGTTGACTAGGTAAAAACGTAACAGCGTTGGTCCTAGAAACCTGTTTGTTCTATGAAGCCTTTATTTGGGCAGATAGTGACATCATTTTGGGTTTGGTGTACTTCTCTGGGGAGCTCTTGTAAGCAATGGTGTCTTGGTGGAAGGTTTCA